CATCATGAAAGTGACGGACAGATATGGTTTTTGCCGAAGACATTGTTAGGTCATCCGTTCCCGACGCCCACCACATCGGCTGTCAGTTCACCACAAACTCGAATAGTGAGCGGTAGTCCCCGAGAGAGAGAGAGAGACTAATTGTTAACCATTACAGTTACGGTGATATAACTCCGAAAACAAAGTTGGGTCGAGCGATGACATGTGTGTTGGCCTTCTGTGGGATCTGTATTTTCCAACTGCCGGCCAATATCTTCGGCACAGGTTTAGCCATAAAGTTGAAGGAACAGCAAAAGACTATACTATTCAGAGGGCCGGCGTCTAAACTCATGCTAAGTCTGTGGCGGTGTTACGCGACGGAAGGCCCGAACTCGAGGACCACTTGTGTGTGGAGTTCNGGTTTAGCCATAAAGTTGAAGGAACAGCAAAAGACTATACTATTCAGAGGGCCGGCGTCTAAACTCATGCTAAGTCTGTGGCGGTGTTACGCGACGGAAGGCCCGAACTCGAGGACCACTTGTGTGTGGAGTTCACAGGCGAAGAAGAGGCCAAAGTTGCTACCAATGGACAAACAGTGCATTCGTTTCATATTAAAGCTCCAGTATCTGAGAGCGCGTCGGCATTTCGACGCCGAACTCAAGCCCAGCGGCGATGAGTCGTTGGAACAGTTGGAGATGTGGAAGACTGTGGCCAGGATTGAGACCCGACTCGCGGACCTTAAAGACAGGTCCAACGATATAAGACAACAATACGATGAAACGCGCACTCGATTGCAAGACATGTTGAAAACATTGACGTCTATTAAAAAATAGATTACTTATTGAGACAATTGTTTGAGTTATCATTTGTTGATATTATTTAACCAATTATTGTCTTTATATCACAATTACATTACAATTAATATCAAAAAATAAAGTTAAGTTTGAAATAAACACTAAATAATATTGTATTATAAATATTGAATAAATTGTTTAATTCATTAAATTATAGCAAAACATAAAATTAAATGAATTTTAATAATAAATTCTAATTCATATCATCTTCTTTAGTGTCTGAATCGATGGTAGTGTTAGTGATGGCAACGGGTCTGCTGTTGAGAAGCGGATCGTAAGTCCATTTGGGAAAAACTCGTTTATACAGATTCATAAGGACTGTGTCCTGAGAATTGAGCTGTCGATCAAACACACACTTCATGTGTCCGTGAGTTCCCAACGGTTCCCGAATGTGTCCTTTGCGGCCGTATTTTGTGCGCATTTCTATTGGTTTAAACCACTGGATGTCCTCCCGATTGAAGAACATATAGCGCACGACCGCGTGTTTGCGGTTAATCTTAAACGGATGTCCGCTCAACACAATCCGTTTGACGACAACTCGGCCGGGATTGCAGCTCAAGAGCGAACCCGTGGCCACCAATCGTTGTACGCCGTCTTCGTACTGCTTATAGACGAGCACTGATGTCGGGGGGAAAGTGATGGGAGCGTATAGAGTGGCCACAACTGGTCCATCGCTTCGCATATATCTCTCTAACTTGTGTTTATCACCGTTAGTGTGGGTCGAGAAGACCGGCGCCGCTGTGAACCGACGACAGCCCACGTGAAACACAAGCGTCTCTTTAGATTTGATCGGTTCCTCAAATGACGACACCTTTTTGATGACCAAATTCATGGCAGACATCTGGTGCTCGTGTTCTAACAGGCCGTATAGAATAAGCGTCGACTGCATGTCGGCGTACGATTGGTACACAATTCGGGGACAATTAGTGACGTGAACGCAGACATACCAACCGCTCTGAGCGCCGGCCGTCTCGTCGGCGCCGAACACACGTCTCTTCGTTCGCCAGAAGTTCTCGAATTGAAATATTCTCGAATAGTCTTTCGGCAGATTCTCGTTCACATCCCACGGAGACGTCCGGAAACTCTTCAGTCCTCGATAGCGAGCGAACCTCACTCTCGCTGATTGGTCTATAGGTGTGTCCACTTCGTCGGGAAACATCTCGTCCTGTCGCTGGTCTTTGAACTTCTGGTACATTGTCTTCTCTTCACTCATATCCATCTTCTCGTCGTAATTCACTTCGTTATTAGTGGTGACANATTGGTCTATAGGTGTGTCCACTTCGTCGGGAAACATCTCGTCCTGTCGCTGGTCTTTGAACTTCTGGTACATTGTCTTCTCTTCACTCATATCCATCTTCTCGTCGTAATTCACTTCGTTATTAGTAGTGACAGACATTGTCTCCATCTCGTCCTCCTCTTCGGCATCACTCCCTTCAGACTCTGACTCTTGTTTCGGTTCCATTACCTCTTCGTCTGATTCGTTGTCTTCATCGGAGTCGTCGTCGCCCTCCTCTGCGTCTTCTGGATCTGAGTTGTCGACAATCCAAACGGCCTGATAGTCAGACGTGCCTTTCGGGACTTTTTTCACTTGTTTTCGATTATCTTCGGCGGCCATCAATTCCTCTTCTGTAGGCCACGTCTGTTCGCCTTCCATCGGATCCGGAATATTCTCGGAGTCCAGCGATTGCTGTAGTGTTGGGTCTGTTCTCAACACAAACTTCACGTCACTCTTGGCGTCGACGGCCATCAAATCACTCGACTTTTTCGACGCTCTCAATGTTAACAACGGGTTTGGATCAGTTAACACCTCAATGGCGCTCATCTGATAGTCTCCATAACCAGGAATATGAACCAAAGAGTTCACATCCAGAGCTCGATTGCGGACATATCCGTACACTTTAAGAGTACCCAAATCGGAGTAATTGGTCTATAGGTGTGTCCACTTCGTCGGGAAACATCTCGTCCTGTCGCTGGTCTTTGAACTTCTGGTACATTGTCTTCTCTTCACTCATATCCATCTTCTCGTCGTAATTCACTTCGTTATTAGTGGTGACAGACATTGTCTCCATCTCGTCCTCCTCTTCGGCATCACTCCCTTCAGACTCTGACTCTTGTTTCGCTTCCATAACCTCTTCGTCTGATTCGTTGTCTTCATCGGAGTCGTCGTCGCCCTCCTCTGCGTCTTCTGGATCTGAGTTGTCGACAATCCAAACGGCCTGATAGTCAGACGTGCCTTTCGGTACTTTTTTCACTTGTTTTCGATTATCTTCGGCGGCCATCAATTCCTCTTCTGTAGGCCACGTCTGTTCGCCTTCCATCGGATCCGGAATATTCTCGGAGTCCAGCGATTGCTGAAGTGTTGGGTCTGTTCTCAACACAAACTTCACGTCACTCTTGGCGTCGACGGCCATCAAATCACTCGACTTTTTCGATGCTCTCAATGTTAACAACGGATTCGGATCAGTTAACACCTCAATGGCGCTCATCTGATAGTCTCCATAACCAGGAATATGAACCAAAGAGTTCACATCCAGAGCTCGATTGCGGACATATCCGTACACTTTAAGAGTACCCAAATCGGAGTCCGCGCTGTTTTCGGTGAACTCAACGCTTTCGGCCAACAGTTGGCTTCGATGCGACCGATAAGAGTTGACATTTCGTTTACAGTTTGACATATAATGGATCAGTTGTGTTGCGTCCGATGTCTGGTCAACTGATCTCAGCTTTTCGTCCGCAAACTTATTGTCAATATATTTTTGAATACATTTCTTGCAATCGTTTTTCTTCTTAAGACTCATACCATTCAATCCATTGATCACATGAACAGTAGTCGGCAAGAAGTGACTGTAAATGGCGTCCAAAAGCGGGTGATTGTCGTCTTCAGTGGTGTCTAATGAGTGATTGATTAGCAAAATGTCGGCCACTTTCGCGGTGTCGAGACCTGAATAGAGGTCTCTGTCATCGATGCAAACAAATGAAAACCTTGTCTTAAACTTTGGAAAACTTATGTGAAAATTGCGACCATTTTTGGCCACATTTGCCGTTGAATTGTCGTCACAATTGCGGATCAGATCGAGAAGTGTGTTCACACTCTTAGGGCTATTATCATCGGTAGTATTCAAGTCGAGAACAGCCACGAGAAGCGGTGGACTATCGCTACCGCTGGCAGTGATGCCCCGTTTGGCCGCCAGAGTCTCTTCGCGATGGTTTTGTCTGATTTGTTTCGATTGATTCCGGCGTTCGTGTCTTCGCAGCGACTCTTTGGACTTCTTTGAGCCACTCTTCGCATCCTCTTTGCGGCCCTTCGCCGAAGAATTGATGGACCGATTGGTGCGATGTCTGCCAAACTTGTGCCGCTTGTTCTCCTGCTTAAGAGGACCGGATCGGTGGGCTTCTTGAGCGCCTTTCATCTGATCCAATCAATTGATGTCTTCGTGGTATTTAAATGGCAAACAAATGAACACTACTTTGAAAATACATGTGATTTTCCTAAACACATGTTTTGTTTGTGTCGTGTATTACAGAGACATCTGTTGTCTCATTATTTGTTTCACAATTTGTATTGCAATTTGAATTAAATTTCACATTACTTTGGGTTTTAAATGAATTAAAACTTTTAATTGTCAATTAAAATAACATTTATTAAATACTTTAAAAGGTCACAAATCGGTTGATAAGAGACTCTTTCGGGTCATTAATACCAAAACATATATATTGTGTGCACAAGAGTTGATACTTTGATAGTAGCATAAGTGACAAGTAATGGTTAAATTATAAATAAATTGTATAAAAAATTAACACTAAATTACAAATAAAATCTATAAATTAAAAAAACAAATGCAATAACAATTAAATTATATAAATTTATGGCTTTTGGACTGACATTCAGGCTATGAAAACAACTTTCCTCGTAATAGTTGCGAGTCTTTGCGGTCACTACTCTTCTCGGACGCGTCCAACGCTTGCAACTCTTTCTGCACGGCTTTGGCGAGTGTTGGGTCTAAAGTGGACACGAGCTCGAAGTCACGCCGGGCTTCGGTCGAGTTCCAGACCCGGACGTGAGCTTTGGCTCTCCTGAACAGTGCTTTCGTATTATTGGGATCGCGTTGAAGACATTCAGTCGTAAACTCAATCACTTGATAGTAATCGCCGGCAATGAGCCGACACTGAGACAGGTTTGACAGAAACGGCACTTTCATGGCGTCGAGACGGGCCCAGTCCTCGTCGCCGGGCTTTTCCCGCAACAATAGCTGTTCCACAATAGCCAATGCCTTGCCGTACAGTTGGCCGGCCTTCTCGTACTCGCGGTCGGCGTACAAACGGTTGCCGTCGCGTCTATATATAGGCAACGCGTTTACCATCTCTTCGGCGTTCATTTGCCAAATCTCTTTGTCGTAGTCTTCGGGCGATTCAACACTGAGTAACTCAATCGTGAACTCAAGATCAGAAGGATTGGTCACCAATTTGTCCAAATCTTCGTGACCTAAACCGGTCTTCATTGCCATTCCTATGTCGTCCCCGAAAAGCAGTCGAGAATTAAATATAAATGCAATCATTTGACAACAATTTGATTACCACAACAATGACGGGCCGGCGGTGGCTCTTCATCACCAGTGGAACCGTTGGTTTTGGTGGAGAATTGTCGATAACATTTGGACACAAACGGGTAGTCCGTGCAGAGGACGCGGTCGGCCACCAAACGGGACACTTCGCGGACGCGCATCGATTTGATCCATTCCTCCCACAGAATCAGTTTAAACTTTTTGCCAGTCGATAACATTTGGACACAAACGGGTAGTCCGTGCAGAGGACGCGGTCGGCCACCAAACGGGACACTTCGCGGACGCGCATCGATTTGATCCATTCCTCCCACAGAATCAGTTTAAACTTTTTGCCAATAATCAGTTCCATGGGTTTACCGCACTTTCGGGTGTCGTCAATGACCAGCTCTTCGGCGCCATCGGCGGCCACTTTGACGGTTCGGAAATGAAATGACACCTTCGGGTCGACAGATAAACAAAAAGTTAAAACATTAATACATTGACCACATCTGTGGCAGAGGAGGACATCGATGGCTGTCCACCGATGATCGAGAGAGTTGTCCGTACTTTAGTGCCGTCCCTATAGTCGGGCACATCTCCAGTGCCCGCGTATAAGACTTTGCGCGATTGGATCAGATTAAAGGCCATTTGTTGATCTGATAGGAGTATAGCGAGTGAATAGGCGTTCATACGAGACAATAGATGGCAATCGATGTCTATATAAGTTTGCGATTCAACAACAGGCCAGTGGTCTGAGACCAGTGGACACACACTATAACCCGTACTTACTTTTCACACAATTATCTGTTACTCCGATTAAACATACATTTGTATGCATTGTATTTGCAATTATTTCTATTATAAGTACTTTTATTTAATTGTTTTATTTTAACTAAACATTTAAACCAATAGATAATTGTAGTGATAATCGTGTGAAACATTTTACAAGTAATTTATAAATAGAAATACATTTGAATAAGACTTTGCGCGATTGGATCAGATTAAAGGCCATTTGTTGATCTGATAGGAGTATAGCGAGTGAATAGGCGTTCATACGAGACAATAGATGGCAATCGATGTCTATATAAGTTTGCGATTCAACGACAGGCCAGTGGTCTGAGACCAGTGGACACACACTATAACCCGTACTTACTTTTCACACAATTATCTGTTACTTCGATTAAACATACATTTGTATGCATTGTATTTAAAATTATTTCTATTATAAGTACTTTTATTTAATTGTTTTATTTTAACTAAACATTTAAACCAATAGATAATTGTAGTGATAATCGTGTGAAACATTTTACAAGTAATTTATAAATAGAAATACATTTGTTTTACAAGAAGTGTTTGATATTATTGTGAGATAACATAAATGGCAAGTGTTTTATAAATACNAATTATTTCTATTATAAGTACTTTTATTTAATTGTTTTATTTTAACTAAACATTTAAACCAATAGATAATTGTAGTGATAATCGTGTGAAACATTTTACAAGTAATTTATAAATAGAAATACATTTGTTTTACAAGAAGTGTTTGATATTATTGTGAGATAACATAAATGGCAAGTGTTTTATAAATACAATAGAAAATTAGAAACAATTTTTAAATTTAATGAATGAACAGAATTGAAGAGATTATTAAGACATCAGTTGATCGAAGACTTTATGAATTCAATCAACTCTTTGGAGCGCTGTATCGGATCCAAAGGTGTGGCCGCGAAACACGTCGACTTCACGCGACGCTCGTCGTTATACACATCGATTCGGGAACCGATTCGGAATACAAATGTCTTGAAATATAGTGTCGATGTTATCAACGACTGGTATTCATCGGGACTCGACTCGTATAGGGCCGACAGTTCGGCCACCGGTTTGCCCGTAATCTTTTCGGCCACCTCTTGGAAAGCGGTCACCCAATGGTCACCCGTGGGGTCGTTGAGCGACAACGAGATCATAAGCCGCCACTCAAACTGAGGTGAATTGTGTTTACATTTCTCGCAATAATAGAAATTGTTTTCTTCGCGCACTTTCTTCGAGCAGCCGGTGTTTGCGCACGACTTATACATGTGTCGCTCCGACCGATTGGTGGCCACAACAGTGGCCTTACAATTATAGTACACTGTCTGGCCTTCGGGTACAGATTCTTCGTTAATTTGACACAAATATTTGGTCTCATTTGCGCCGCCGTTGCCGTCACTGCCTTTGCTCAGCGCTCGAATGTCTTTAAGGCCGCCGCCGGCCATCTCTCGGTCGTACCAACCCTTCAATATATGGGCTTCGGGTAAGTCTGGATCCAAATCAGTGGTCGCATTGGCCGCGCATTTCAGTGTTTTGCCGTTAAACTCGCCGACGATTGCGTTTTTAATGGCCATCACTTGTCCGGCAACGCCACAGAACCCGTCGGCCTCTTCACTCCATAGAGTGAGCCTAACCTCAGCCAACGTCTTGTCAACTATAGAAACGTCACGTTTGCGGTATTCAATGCTTGTCTTCTTCGCCACAATCGTCTGAATGGTTCCCACATTGCGTACAACACCGATGACGTCCACGAGATCGCCGACGGCCTGACCTTCCAATTGAGCGATTGCGGTGAAGCGGAAGCGCACGGGCGGCGCTGCCATCGCCTCATTACACAGCACCACAACTGAGTCGGCATTCAAAGTGATTTCGTAATCGGATTTAAGGTTTGAATACTTTCTGTTCGCGGACTTAACGCTTCCTCTTTGGAAGTAATAATTCATATCCTTTTCAATGATATCGAAGTATTTGTCGCACTCTTTGTTGAATGCCGTGAACCGAATGTCCGCCGAATCGTCCGCCACATCGAAAGAGAAGAGCCGTCCGTCGGCTTTACCGTCGCGTCCCTTATAAGTCCTGACGGCTGTCTTCGACACCACTCGAGCCCTTATTAGCCACGCGTTGAAGAACGGAGTTATGGCCAGAATTGGACACACTTTCGACGTGTCGATCGACGCCTCGTTATTCGCGTTATTCATATTGTTTTGGTTATCGCAAGTGTTGGCCGGCGGTGGCAAAGGGGCGGCCGTCGGCTGCGGCCCGACGTCAAGCTTACAGTTGATTTGCGAACCTTTGGAAACAAAGAGTTAGAAATTGTGGGACCAGTTGTGGTGATGGACACAAACCTGTCATCAGTGTCTCCAATTGGCTGATGACCAGCACTTCCGCGTCGTTGGCGCCTATAGTGGACACCCAATAGTTGATGAGTCGGACGACCGAATAGGTCTGGAACTGATTGGACGCCATTTTGGCGTCATTTTCGGGCGACTGCTTAATGATAGACATCTTATAAGAGTCGACGCCATCCCATAGTATGCAACGAATGGATCCGTTGGCCACCCGTTTGGTCCCAAGAATCTGGACAACCGATTGGCGGACGTCAGCGGCGGTGGGCGGACCCGTAGACTTGATAATACGCTTGAGACAGCCCACAGACAGCGCCGGAACCATTGGAAGTGATGGATAGGATGTCATCGATGTGTTGATTGTGCGATCAGTTTGGGATCAATTGATGTATGGATTGAATCGTGTGTTCTGTTAGACAATGGACTCAATCTGTGTTTCCATTCAATCCCTAAACACAACATAAGTATTGCTTTCCAATGACTCAATGCAAACACTTTTAGCGCCAAATGCTATGCAATAAACCCATTAAAAGGCTTGTAATAAGTGTCCGAATGTTTGGTACTATTTGTCACAATACAACTATCGCTACATTTCTATGCGTTTGTTATTATAAAAAGGTATAAAAATGCTTATGACATGTCTTACGTTCATTCAATACATTTGATTCTTAAAATAGTGTCAAATAAATAACGTCAATATATATTTCAATTGAATTGATTGCAAGTTATAATAACTTAGTTATTGACCCGAAGTTCGGGTAACTGTTGGCCAAACACTTGGACGCGACCAACGATGAGCTCATCGACTGGAAACTCATTTTGTTTCAATTAAAATAACAGTTTATTATTTAAATTCAATTTCAAACCAATAAAGCCTTGAAATGTTTTCAAATATGTGGCCAAATGTCGGTCACATTATGAACCAGTTTTATACAGCAATGTGTAAAAAATGAATACTATTTTTGTTTTATAAATTGTTATTAAAGTTTATTTCAATTTTTTTAATCAATTGCTAATAAAATACAAAATGTGTACAAATCTTATCTTATTTTACAGATTGTTATTTAGAGATAAAAGCAATTTTGTGAACACATGTTTGGCAATAAAAAAATATAATTAATTTTCATGAGAAGTGTTATACATTAAAAACACACAAATATTAGATTTAATTAAACGAAAGGAAATTAATCATAGAATTAGACAACAATTTCTCTTTCGCTGGCATTCATTACACGGGTTTGTAATCGAGTTTTGTCTCCAACTTCTTGTGGTCCGATATCTTGCGGACGGCTTTCATAAAGTCCTCTTCAATGACATCCCTTTGGGCCATAAAAGCCATATATTTAGCTTCGGTACACACGTTGCGCACTTCAGCGCCAGTAAAGCCGTCGCTCAGCTTCACGACGGCCTCCCAGTCTACCTCTCCTTCTATAACCATTGATTGCACGTAGATTTTGAGCACTTCCAGCCTTCCTTCTTCGTTGGGCAGTGGGATCTCGATCTTACAGTCCAGACGTGAGAGCAGCGCCGGATCCAATGTGTCGGGTCTATTGGTGGCCATAATCATCTTCACCCGTCCGAGTGAGTCAAAGCCGTCCATTTGGTTCAACAGTTCCATTAGTGTCCGTTGAATCTCGCGGTCAGCGCTCGTGCCTCCGGAGAAACGGCGGCCACCGATGGCGTCGATCACATCCATGAAGATAACGCACGGCTGATGATCGCGAGCGTAGTTAAACATCTCGCGTATGAGTCGCGCCGATTCGCCGATATCTCTGTACATGAGTGCGTGTGAATGCACTTTCAAAAATGTGATATTAGGTGCCATTTTTGAGGCCACGGCTCTGGCCAATAGGGTTTTGCCGGTTCCGGGCGGACCGTAGAGGAGACAACCCTTCGGTGGAGTGATGCCCACCCGAGCGAACAGCTCCGGGTTAAGCAGCGGTAATTCAATCACTT